GCCTAAAGGAGAGGAGAGTAGGTGATAATCTGATGGATTGGGGCAGGGAGTTCCAGAGGATGGGTGACGCTCTGGAGAAGTCCTGGAGGCGGGCATGGGAGGAGGAGACCAGGGAACTAGAGAGAAGGAGGTTTGTGAGGAGCGGAGAGTGCGCGTTGGGTGGTATTTGGATATTAGGTCGGTGATGTAGTTAGGGGCAGTATGATGGACGGCTTTGTACGTCAGTGTGCTACAATAACTGATTAGCAATCCGCTGTCCTGGATAGTGCTGGACTAGCTGCTGTAACTGCGATAGCACACTACACACAGAATGAAACTGAAACTGACATGGAGATTACATTATCAGCTGGGTTATGGTACCCTGGGAATAGTGGTACCCATTGCAGGCTGCTCCCCCATAAGTACACCTCTGCTTACCCTGACTCTATTTTGTTCTAGGAGCAGGATGGGAAGTCCCCGTCCTGCTGGAGCACAGCGCTGTATACTGTACGGAGCTGAGGTTACATACAGATAATACAGCACACCTGTTAGTGCAGAAATAGTTACAGCGGGGAAAATAATTATTTGATCCCCTGCACATTTTGTAAGTTTTCCCACTTACAAAGAAATGAAGGGTCTATAATTTTTTTATCATAGCTGTATTTTAATTGATAGAAACAGAATATCAACCAAAAATCCAGAAAAACACATGACACAAATGTTATAAATGGAGTTGCAGTTCAGTCAGTAAAATAAGTATTTGATCTTCTACCAACCAACAATAATTCTGGCCCCCACAGACTGGCTATGTGCTCATGTGGTACACAGATTAGTCCTGTCAATATAGGAAGGTGCTCCTAACGACAACTCATTATGTGTATAAAAGACACCTGTCCACAGAACCTCTTTCTTAATTCATGCCAAATTCATTTTTGACAGGATCAACAGGTATTTATTTTGCATTTATTTAAAGTGGTTGTAAAGGCAGAAGGTTTTTTAATTTCATACGTTTTATGCATGAAGTTACAGTAAGCAACCCCCCTAATACTCAGTTGAGCCCAATCGTGCCAGAGAGCAGAGGCTCTCCCAGCTCTCTCCCTTCTCATTAGCTTAGACACTGCCATTGACTCCCGTCGCTGTCAATCACAGGCAGTGAGGAGGGAGCAGGGGGCAGGTCTGAGCCATGCTCTGTGCGTCCTATGGACTCGAGCATGCACACGTATATAGCAAACCACTTGCTATGGGGGTACTCAGCAGGGGGGAAGAGCCAGGAGCGGCGGCAGGGGGCCCAAGAAGAGGAGGATCAGGACCACTGCACAAAGCAGGTAAGTATACAGTGTTTGTTTATTTAAAAAAAATACCTTTACAGTCACTTTAACATATAACAAGTGTTAGATAAATTTGGTATAAATTGAGCAAATAAGTGTTCGTTTATTGTTAGGGTTTAGTACACTTTAGAATAATTTCTCCCCACTCGTATTAAACTTTTTATGTTAGTATTCAACGCGATAAAATGCCAAATATCAATAAATTAATTTCTCCATCTATATTTATACACTGTGTCATTAGCTTTTTAACTAAGAGGAGGCTGGAGTTGTTCTTTTGCTGGTCGTTTTCAGCTGTGCTTAGGTGATTTTTATTGTGTTTCACGCTCTTCCCAGGAGAGGGTCTGAGTGGTCCTTGCCGGTTACTACATATTCCATGATAAATTCTTCATTACTGCCATCTTGTATTATTTAGTATAACAAGCACATGACAGTATGGGAGCTGAGAGGAAGTTTAGTCTTTGATGTAATCATCTCCATACGTGTGTCTTATGGCTTATATTGTTATGCTTTATGGTAAATAAAATGGATATGCTGTGTAGACAGACTAAGGAGAGCTCTCTGAATTAAAAAAGCTCAAATATGAATATTATTAAACAGCGCCAATAACAGCTCATGACCTGTCAATGGATGTATATAGAACACCGATCTCTTAAAACTCAACTCCATGCAAAAGAAATATATTCTGTGTGTTTTCTAGGAAGTTAACCTCCCAGGCGGTATGATTATTTCAGATTTTTGGTGCTGAAAGCGGTTCCGTTATTTTGCATAGTTTTTTATTGTAGGCCTGTCATTTTTAGGAATAACTCACTGAAATCTGTCCGAACAAGAGTCTAGTAAACATTCCGGATATGATAAAACTTGAAACACAAAATCATAAATTATAATTTAATAAATAATCATAAAAAATAATAATATAATAATAATAAATTTAATTCAATAATATAATCAAACCAAAAACACTGAAATTTGAAATATAGCGCCAAGTTCACACATTGCTGAGCAAAGTCGCAAAATCGCAAAATAGTTTTCAGTGTCTGATGACGAATTTCCCCACGAATCATTATCACTCAATTCTACAAGTGGTTCTGATTTACTATCGCTGTTCTCTAGCTGGTCTAAAACCGATTTTGACCTAAAGGGACACTTTTTGGACGCCATGGACGTTTCTCAGTTTCCAGGCAGAAAGAACAGTCAAAATGCAGGCAGGGCACAGGACAAAGCAGTAGGGACAAAATGTATGTGAAATGGTTTGAAACAGCAATGTTTTACTATGTAATAATCGTTTACAAAAAAATGCCATTTTTTAAAACTTTCAAATTTTCCGCCTGTTCCAGCCCCGTACGTCCCGACGTCACAGGGACCGGAACACGGAAGCCGGATGCCGGCATCGGCCGGAGGAGATAGCCGGGGATGCTGCAGGGAACACATTGCGGGAGCGAAGGACAAGGTAAGCGCTGCAGGGAATCCCTGAGCAACGCCGCATGGTATTCCTGAGTGTAGCTCGGGGTTACCGCTTGTGGTACTGAAACTTTACCCCGAGCTACACTCGGGAATATCGCCAGGGAGGTTAAGTCGCATACTGGCTCTTTATAACTCTTGGGATTTCATTTCTCTATCACCGCTCTCAGTTCTTTCCAAATGCAGCAGCCATTAGAAAGATTTAAAGTTAAACCTATCTATACATGCTTAAGCAGGCCATTGGGTGGAACGAAAGAAAATCTCTTGGTTTCTCCATCATCACAGTCAGTGTTGATGGGGGAATGCCTCCTGCAGTGAGTGATTGTGTTCTGCCGGCAGGGAACCCTCCCTGCTGGCAGAACACAATGATTACTGCTAGCGGCTATAGCCACTTGTAGTAATTCCATACAAAAAATCTGACAGACTGCCTGTACTGATGTTGATTGATGGATTGACTTTAGTACAACCAGCTTACCCAAAGATGGATCAAATCTTGGCATGTCCCTGCTGAACCGACTGAGATTCAGTCCATCTATGGCTGGCTTAAGTCTTCTCTTATTAACCCATGGGAGAAGAAAAAACTTGATTCCTCCATATACTCTAAAGAGTGTGGATGGAGGAATCTCCTCTGCTGGTGTTCGTATTCAAGCAGCCGCGGCATCCAGATCTGCTTGAACACTTTTACAGTAATTGCATCTGGTAGAATGCTGTCACTGTTTCCAACTTTCCACCCAGCTCTTTTCAATTTCTCATTCGACTTTTGTGGAGCTGGGTGGTGCCTACAGGATCACCAAGGGCTCAGATTTTTTCTGAGTTAGCAGGAATGTGCCAATATTTGATCTGTGTATGATCAGCTTAACTATCCCTCAATGTATTTTTCATAATGTTGAAAAAAAAGTTGGGAATTCCAACTGCAAGAGAATGATGCCTTCATTCTGGTCTTGTGGACGGGGCAGAGACAAAGACTACTTCTCTGGATTCTAGACCATGTTTAATGTAAAGTGGAAGCAAAGCTCTGCTGTAACAAACAGCAAGCAGACTGTTTTTTATTGCACAAGAGATCTGCAATGACCTGCCTGTCTTTTCGAGCACTGTAAAGGGAGCTGCGCATGCGCAGCTTAGCTTACAGTGCAGGGCCAGTCTCTGAGTACTGCGATTACTATCTCCTGCACATACGTAGGAGTGACATCATCCTTCGCTGGCTAATGAAAATGCCCAAAAACCGGCACACAGAAGAGGATGTCTGCGCTGGTGGGGGACCATTGAAAAGGTAAGTTTAACCTGTTTAGTTCCATTTTAGCTACTTAGGCAAATCATTTGCCCTTTTGATAGGACTAGCTTTAAAAATGATGAGTTTTCAAGCATTATGTTGCCTTGGTTGGTGTATTCGGGTAGACAGAATATGGAGCAGCTGTGCAAGGCAACCAATCAGCTTCTGTCTTTAGCTTCCCCTGAAATGAAAAACGAATAAAGCACAACCTTCTTTAGAGTGTACTCGCCTCAGTGCATAGCACCTAGTGGGGATCCTGTCTGCTCTTTCCTTCTTCTGCTATCTGCATGAGTCACTCTGACACCAGGCAATACATAGTGACAGGCTGCCTTTTCCAACAGCACGCAGCAGGTTATTGACAGCCTCAGATGTGCATGTTTCCCTATGAGACTGTGTAAGAAGAGCATGTCCATTATTTCCACTCAGGTCTCAGATTACAGTGAGCTGTGTGCTGTGCAGTGTGTAAAGTCCCATCTCTACCCCCTCTCTCCTGGAAGCTAAGAAATTCTAAATTTGTACTTTGAAAGACTTTGGAAGAGACAGGGCTGCACATAAACAGGTACAGCTTATGTAGAAGGATTTGCTTCAACTCTGTGTATCACCTGCGGATAGTCACTTCATTTGGCTTGTGTGTTTATTAACACTTTCAGCTTTGAAAATGAAAGTTAGAAGCTGATTGGTGCATGCATATCTGCTCCAGATTCTGGCTGCTCCAGTTTAGATAAATTCCCCTCCCTGTAGTTAAAGAAAAGCTACAACCAGATTTTTTTTTTTTATTTAGTTGTGGAAGTTATGCAAATACCTAAATCTGTATTCATGTGACGCTCCAGAGGGGGAGAGTCCTTCTTTTGGTGGCTGTGTTGCTGCCTGGGTGACGTGGAAACTTCCTGTTAGTTGTTCAGTGGCAGGATCTTCTTTGGCTCCAGGAGACTGTAGCATTGTGATCAGGGGCGGACTGACAACTCATGGGGCCCCCGGGCAATAGGGGATCATGGGGCCCCTGTGTCCTTGCCCAAACTCAAAAAAGCCTATGAAAAAGGTACCAAGGTCATCTCATGGGACCCCCTACTGACCCTGGGCCCTCGGGCAGTGCCCGAGTTTCCAAATGGTCAGTCCGCCCCTGATTGTGATGATGTTGACATGGTTGGCAGCAGACATAGTCTCCTGCACTGCATCAATGGGCTTCACTAGGGGAAAGAGGCATCAGAGAGGGACACATGGCTGCAGTTTCAGGCGAGTGATAAAGGGGTTACAAAAATACATTTGAGAATGGGTAGGAATAGTGTGGGAGCTGAATGGGAAGGAGGATGGGGGTTAATGTGCAGCACAGTGGCTAAATGGTTAGCACTTTTGCCTGGCAGTACTAGGGTCGTTGGTTCGAATCCCAGCCACGGCACCACCTGCCTGGAGTTTGCATGTTCTCCCTGTGCCTGCGTGGGTTTCCTCCGGGTACTCCAGTTTCCTCCTACACTCCAAAGACATGCTGGTAGGTTAATTGGATCCTGTCTAAATTGCCCCTAGTATGTGTATGTATGGATGAATGTAAGTTAGGGGACCTTAGATTGTACGCCCCTTGAGGGTTAGGGACTGATGTGAATGTATAATATATATGTAAAAGTGCTGTGTACATATGCGTACCTGAAATAAAATGTTTGCCCAGAGATGGCCTTTGCATTCTTTTGCTGTAGTGTATATTTCTGACATTAAATTTTACCTGCAAATTTGCCTATGAAATTCCTACTACTACTAGACAAGGACTGCAGTAGCCATTAGGAAGATACATCGTAGTGTGACTCTCTCTCAATGTATACTTCTTGATGTTGAATAAAAAGTTTGGGAGTCCAACTACAAGAGAGTGATGCCTTCATTTTGGCCTTGTGGGAGAAGCAGAGATAGAGACTACTGCCCTGAAATCTTACCAATGAACTCTCTAAACAAGTGGATGTCAACTTGGGAGCTAAAGGAGGCCTCAAAAACAGTCCTTGACATCACCAAAAGGCTGCTCATAATGTCCATTATACAATCACCGGCCACTTTATTAGGTACACAATTGCTTGGTAACACAAATTGCTAATCATCCAATCACCTGGCAGCAACTCAATGCATTTAGGTATCTACACTTGGTGAAATGACTTGCCGAAGTTCAAACTGAGCATCAGAATAGGGAAGAAAGGGGATTTAAGTGACTTTGAATGTGGCATGGTTGTTGGTGCCAGACGGGCTGGTCTGAGTATTTAAAAAACTGCTGATCTACTGGGATTTTCACACACAACCATCTCTAGGGTTTACAGAGAATGGTCCAAAAAAAGAGAAAATATCCAGTGAGTGGCAGTTGTGTGGATGAAAATGCCTTGTTGATGTCAGAGGAGAATGGGCAGACTGGTTGCTGCGACATTTAGAATAGGATCAGATTTTGGCGTAAACAACAAGAAAGCATGGATCCATCCTACCTTGTATCAACGGTTCAGGCTGGTGGTGGTGTAATGGTGTGGAGGAGATTTTCTTGGCACTAGCAAGGTGTACTAATAAAGTGGCCAGTGAGTATGTGAGTCCTCATGCACACGGGATGTTTTGATAATGTAATGGTAATGTTAGCTGTGTAAAGTCCCGTTAAAATAAGTTTTTCACCTTTTTATTTCTTTACAGTTTTTGCATTAGCGTTTTGCTGTGTTTAGCGGCATTTTTCCGCGTTTGCGGTTTTTAGCTTTTTTTAAAAATGTTTTTGGTTTAAAAAAGGCCAAAAATGCCGGTTTGCCGTGTTTTACCGCGTTTTGCAGTGTTTTTCAGTGTTAGAGTGTTTTTACAGTGAGAAAACCTCCTCTAAAAATCCACTAGTCCTGGGTTTTTTTTCCAGCCAAAAAACATCCCAGACAATGTTGATTACAGTCTACGTGTGCATGGACACATAGGATAACATGCTGGGGGTGTACTAGCTGTAGAAAAAAATGCTAAAAGCCAAAAACAGCCGCTGTAAACATGTCCCGTGTGCATGAGGACTTATGCTTGAGAGGACTGTCTAAAACTCCAGACCTAATAGAGGAAATGAGGGTCCGAGAGTGTGCACATGGTACATTTTTGGCTGGGGATGACTGCAGAAGACAATGTGAAACTGGGAACATGATACATGATGCTAGTAGAGATCAATGCTATTACACTAATAAACGTTCCCACTACAGACTGCTGAGGTCCGAAGGCCACACATCATATACTAAAGGGCTTCAGGTTGGGCACCAGGGCCCTAAACGTTGGCTAAAGTAGATGCCTCCTTTAACCCCTTGCCTACCGGGCACTTATACCCCCTTCTTTACCAGGCCAATTTTCAGCTTTCATCGCTGTCGCACTTTGATTGACAATTGCGCGGTCATGCAAGATTGTACCCATATGAAATTTTTATCTTTTTTTTTCTCACAAATAGAGCTTTCTTTTGTTGGTATTTAATCGCTGCCGGACACTTTACTTTTTGCGCTATAAACAAAAAAATGTGCAAAAAATTTGAAAAAAAAAAAAAGTTTCTTTGTCTATTATAAAATTTTTCAAACAGGTAATTTTTCTCCTTCATTTGTGTGTGCGTTGATGAGGCAGCACTGATGGGCACTAATAGGCAGCACTGATGGGCACTGATAGGCGGCACTGATAGGCAGCACTAATGAGGTGGCACGGATAGGCAGCACTGATAGGTGGCAATGATAGACAGCACTGATAGGTGGCACTGACTGGCATCACTGCTGGGCACTGACTGGCGCAACTGCTGGGCACTGGTGGTGGGACTGGGACTGGTGGGTGGCACTGGTGGGCACAGGTGGGTGGCCACAGGTGGGTGACACTGCTGGGCACAGGTATGTGGCACTTCTGGGCACAGGTGTGTGGCACTGCTGGGTGGCACAGGTGGGTGCACTGCTGGGCACAGGAGGGTGCACTGCTGGGCACAGGTGGGTGCACTGCTAGGCACAGGTGGGCGCACTGCTGGGCACAGGTGGGCATAACTGGTGGGTGGCACTGCTGGGCACCGATCATCAGGGCCCTGATGATCGGAGCCGATCCCTGCTCTGACAACTGCCGGTTCTCGGCTGTACTTTCCTTGCACTCTGACAGCGTGAGGAAAGTGCAGCCGAGAACCGGCAATTGCATTTTCCGGTGATCAGCGTGTCGTTGGACATGGCTGATCACGTGGTAAAAGGCCGCTGTGATTGGCCTTTTACCACATCACGTGATCAGCTGTGTCCATAGGACACAGCGATCACGCAGATCGCCGGGGGAGTGCAGGAGAGTGCGTTCTGGGAGGACGTCATATGACACCCTCCCAGAACTAGCCGGCCGCAGTGTAGCCGTCATTTGGCTATCTGCGGTTGGCAAGTAGTTAAAGTGTTACTAAACCCACAACAGTAAAATCAGTCTGTATATGCAGTACAGCATGCTTGATACTCACTGTGGAACCTAAGGGGTTAATCCTCTGCATTTGGTAAAATTTCTGTTTGATCCTGACTTCTCTGATCCTCACCTTCTTCCAGTGTCCCCCTCTTATCTCCTGATAAGACATATCGTGTGGTGACACTCAGTTTGGTGTGTATTGCTAGAGAGGTTTTTTATTTTCTTGGGAGGGTGCTTGTGATCAGCACAAGGCCAATCAGCACTGTCCAGACAGAGGTTAGGGGTTCTACATCCTCCTAGAACAAAAAGAAAACTCCTCCTACAAGCTTTAACCAGTGCTCTGCTGAACACTGATAGAAGTCACACGACTGCTCTAACTGCTGATGAGAAAAGGTATTTAGCAGTTTATATTTACTAAAATAATTGCACTACCATGTAATGTGTACTGTGGGAGACCAGACAGAGAAAATGCAGGGTCCTGGGTTTAGTAACACTTTAAATTCTGTAATTTTGGGATAGATAAGGAGGAAGGTTTCTCTTTTAGTTAAAATAGGAAATGTTTGCTTGTACTCCCTAATGCCGAATATTTATTTGCAGTCTAGTTGCTGACACTGTGGTATTTAACTCTGCTTTCAACATGGAGTCTTTCCTGACCTCTATCGGCACTTTCCTGAAGATGATACCAGACCATCGACCACGAGATCTGGAACGTATTATTAGGCCCAAATGTCACGTCATTCACTTTCCAATCTGGTTTCCTGATGTCAGCCGGTAAGGTACTTTCATGCTCAATTTTTTGCTGTTGTTGCATCAAGACTTTATCCATTTATTTTCTTCTCCTGCTAGGTAAATACCCGTTACACTTGAATAATTGTATAGTATACGATGGGATTTAAGGGCAAGGCAAGACAAAATAAAAGTGTACAAAGAGAGGCATGCACCACTGCTCCTCTGATCTGCACTGTCTGTAACTATAGATCTAAACCTGGCCTCAGTTCCCCTCCCAACCCTAATACCCAACCCCCTCCCCCCTTCTCCACATCTTTTTTAATATTATTTTTACAACTGTTTCCAAAGTCTTCTGGCCAGTCATATGACCATCTGTCTGTACTGTTTGCAGGGCACCATGATGACGTCCCCTCAGGGGATGGGCCCCTGGCGCCTTGCATTTGCACTGCGTTCTCACTTTATAGTATACACAGAGTGTGGGTGATAAAAAGGAGTACAGTGACTCCCACAACAATCTTTTAGGACAGCGTGGGGTAGATTTACTAAGGACAAATAGACTGCACATTCTAAGTGCAGTTGCAGTCATTTTCCCAAGAGCTTAGTAAATGTGGTAAAGCTTTACTTTGTAAGGAATACCCAATCAGGTGCAAGGAAAATAAATACAACAGCATTTTTGCTTGCTCAAGAATGAATGATGGAAATCAGCAGAGCTTTACCACATTTACTCATCATATAAAACGAGTGTAACTGTACTTGCAGTGTATGGTCTATTTGCCATTAGTAAATCCATCCCTATGAAACAAAAATAAATGAATACCACTATATATAAGGCAAATGCAATATGCCATGCATTCATCTCACAAGGTAGGTGCAAGATGTTCAAATAAGAGACATAGGGGGTTATTTATTAAAACTGGAGAGTGCAAAATCAGGTGCAACTCTGCATACAGACCAGGCTTTATTGCCAAAGCTTGATTGAACAAACTAAAATTAGAAGCTGATTGTCTACCATGCACAGCCGCACCAGATTCTGAGTGCTCCGGTTTTATGCAGGCCATAGATGGGTCGAAAATCGGCCGATGTTCTGTTCGTTAGTGGGCTAATTGTTCGGCCATTTTTCTGTATTTTGGCAGATTTTTTTTATCGGTAAAGTTGGAAAAAAATCGGCCGATTTTTGCGGCAGTTATGGGCAAATCTGCCGATCTTTTTACCGATAAAAAAATCTGCGCATGAGCAGTGACCTGCAAGAGGAAGACAAAAAGAAGAGGATGAAGAAGAGGATGAAGAAGAGGAAGAAGAAGAAGAAGAGGATGAAGAAGATGAAGAAGAAGAAGAAGAGGAGGATGAAGAAGAGGAAGAAGAAGAGGAAGCAGAAGAAGAAGAGGATGAAGAAGAGGATGAAGAAGAGGATGAAGAAGAAGAGGAAGAAGAGGATGGAGAAGAAGAAGAGGATGGAGAAGAAGAGGATGAAGAAGAGGATGAAGAAGAAGAGGAAGAAGAAGAGGAGGATGGAGAAGAAGAAGAAGAGGATGGAGAGAAGAAGAGGAGGATGAAGAAGCTGAAGAAGAGGATGAAGAAGATGAAGAAGAGGATGAAGAAGAAGAAGAAGAGGATGATGAAGAAGAGGAGAAGAAGAAGAAGAGGATGAAGAAGAGGAATTCCAGTCCGGCAAAAAGTCCCTGCAGAGAGCTCCGCTATTTCTTTCACATTTATAGCGGTTGTAACAATGTATCTATTTGTTTCCGAAATAAAAACATCTGTATCCTAAATGGATACAAATAGATACATTGTTGCAACCGCTATAAATGTCAAAGAACTGTCAAAGAAATAGCAGAGCTCTCTGCAGGGACACTTTTTGCCGGCTGTAGATGGGATGAAAATCGGCCGATTTTTTTTTTTATCGTTCCTGGTAACGTCGGCCGCTTGAATGACCAATTTTTTGTTTTTTTAAAGAAAAATCGTCCGGTTTTCTCCCATCATCTATGGCCTGCATTAGTCTTCCCCATAATCGTGCATGCAGAATGCAAACTGCAGGTATAAAACATGGACATCCGGTGTAGCTGGAGGTGGGGGATAACCTTTCATGGTATAACCCCTTCGTCCAATTCATCCCCACCTCCAGGTACTGTAGACTGAATATATAGCATATTGCAATTACATTATATATAGTGGTATCCTTGTTACTGAGATGGCTTGTGTGGTCACTTGTATTCAAGGTTTTCATACCACTTTAGATTTTTAAACACTATTTATGTGTGCTAGCTTTATTGAAGGAGAAGAATGGCCAAAGCTATTTTGACTGTAGTTATTTTATTTATTTCAGGTACTTTTATAGCACTGTCAATTTACACAGCGCTTTACATATATATATATATTATACAGTCACATCAGTCCCTAACCCTAGATTGTAAGCTCCAAGGAGCAGGGCCCTTTAATCCCTCTTGTATTGAACTGTATTGTTACTGTACTGCCTCCTTCCATAATTTAAAGCGCTGTGCAAACTGTTGGCGCTATATAAGTCCTGTATAATAATAATAATAACCCTCAAGGGGTGTACAATCCAAGGTCCCTAACTTACATTCATACATACTAGGGCCAATTTAGACAGGATCCAATTAACCTACCAGCATGTCTTTGGAGTGTGGGAGGAAACCGGAGTACCCACGCAGGCACAGGGAGAACATGCAAACTCCAGGCAGGTGGTGCCGTGGCTGGGATTTGAACCAACGACCCCTAGTACTGCCAGGCAGAAGTGCTAACCATTTAACCACTGTGCTGCCCGGATCACAGGAGTGCACTTAGTTCTGCACTCCTGAGGCCCGTTTTGATGTCACTTAGTTGGTCCAGACTCTGGAAAGATCCCAACTCTAATGTCAGGATCCACCCAGATTCCTAACCAGCATCTGGCTCAGCCTCTCAGCGAGCCTCTGAGAGCCTGGGCCAGTCGCCAAGTTCCCCCCCACAGCCCGGCGCTCGGTGTGAGTGCTGGGGTGGTATAGCACAGAGCTGGTCACTGACAGTCACCAGTGCTCTGCAGACTGAAGACTGAGATCTGAGAGATCAGTGGTGTTTGACCGCTCAATTCTTGGCTTTATATGCGGTGGGGGACAGATGTAGCATCAGACCAGTGCTGCATCCACCTAGGCAGTATGTATGTATGTATGTATGTAGTTTTTGTTTTTTGAAACCCACTTTCTCTTCATTTTTGTTATGTTGATCAGAGCATCCATTTGTATTTGCTGTGCATATATTACCAGTAAATCTGAAAATTTTAATAGAGCAAGAACAACAAAGCAAGGTGATAAATCATGAATGATGGAGATCAGTCATTAAATATCATTAAAATAAATAAACTTGTAGATTTGCCACAGAGAGCACACATGAAAAAAATAAAAGGTAAGTGTACACATAAAAAACTTCTAATGACCTTGCCTAATGATTCTCTGCACTATGTGAATAGCCCCTGAGTTCATTTAGTTAACGGATTGCACCGCGCCTCTGTAACTAGCTGAGTGGAAATTGAGACGAGAAAGGTTAAGGGATTGCTGTGGCCAAACAGAGATTTATAAAGCCAGCTCTTAGCCCTGAGTGTTTTTGAGTTATTTTCAAATGGTAATTTGCTTTATCCAAACCAAACGCATATAGTGTAAGTAAGTGATTATTTGCATGACTGACAATCATTTCCCTGCCTGCAGTCTTTTTAAAATGCATAATTTTGCAGAGATGCAAAATAAAATAGAAAAAAAAATTCTCAAGGCTAAAAGAAGTTAGGTGATTTATTTTGTGCTATGTCTGACCTCTAATTTTATTTCTCTTTTCTCCTTAACCCTTTTTTGTGTTTGAAAATGCTATCCTGCCTCTCAAGTTCTTCAAGGTATTTCTGTTTTTGGCAACTGTAGAACTGTGTCTAGTATTTTCATTGCCTGTATGGCAAAGGTTCGTTGCTGCTGAATAAAGGAATTGATGGCACATCAACCATATTAGCTCTGTTTATTATCTCACCGCTGTTGGTGCTTTACAGGTTGACATATTTTCATAGTTTCCATGTATGTTATAACGCATACAACCGGTGTTGCCAAACATGTCTTAGACCAGTGAATGGAGATATTACCAAAGAATTTAAACCAAGTAATTCAAGCCAAGAGCCAGCAAAAGTCAGCTGTTTCCAAAACTAATGATGATTCCAGTGGACAGAATTATTTAGTGTCCCCTCCAGAAGCTTGCAGTGAGGTAATACATTTGAGGGGAGTGTGAATCCATCCTTTTTGCTTTATATCAGTAGGGCAGAGCTGAAAATTCTGAAGGCAATATTTCTCCACGAGAGTTTCTGAGAGATGCAAGAAGCCAACATATTATTTCTTTAATAATCTAATGCTAAAGCCTCTGGCCATGCAGGTTCTGGCAGTGGAATAATGAATAGTGGAATGGTGTTTAGATGGGAAAGGAGAGGGTCTGCTGATATAGGCAACGGTCAAGGCCCACTATACAACTTGGCACAAGTGGTAATTTTATTTCCTAGCTCTTTGTTAAACGCTGTTATTTATTTGAAGCTCCATTCAACTCTAAAGCTGGCCATCAATGATGCAATTTTCTTTCCTGCAACCTGTGATTGCAGGAAAGAAAGTCGCTTGATTCCCCTATCAGCACAGTCAGTGTTGATGGGGGAATCCCACCTGTGGAGCTATTGTGTTCAGGATGGCTCTCCGCCAGGAGAACACAATGATTACTACTAGTGGCTATAGCCGCTGACAATAATGGCATGAAAAAAGCTGACATGCTGGCTCTACCCAAGTCGTACAACAGTTGAATTGGGTACAGTCAGCCTGCCCATAGGTGGTTTGAATTTCAGCTAGTGCAGAATCGGCTGACATTCAAACCATTTATAGCCAGCTTAAATGTTTGGAATGCCATGTACTTCTTGGACCTAAAGGATATCTAAGTTGATCACTGTATCTGTCACCCATCAAGTTGTACACGGAATCAAATCATTGGATCTTTCATGGAGTTATTTTGGACTCTACACTTTTATGTTTTTTTTCATTGTTGTGGCATTTTTTGTCACTTTTTAATACGTTGGTTATATGTCATTTTTTTCACTCTTCCCATTTGTCGTAATTTACCCACTTTATTGCTCATCACATTTCAATTTTTGTCCTATGTTTCTGAATGCATTTTTGATCACGTTTTTGCTGTTACGTTTTCACATTTATGGTTCTATGGTTCTAATTTTATATTTATTCGTTCACCTGTGTTTATTTCACACTTTGTTTTTACCATATGAATATCAGTAGTGCAGCACCCCTACTTATTCAATTTTTCACTATTGCTTAGTTGGGTGTTCTCCCCTTTTTTTCATCCCACCTAGGAGTCCTGTTATATGTATTTTTTGGATCTAAGATCACATATTTGTTGACACACCTTTTTCTCGCTTTCAAGTTTTTCACTTTTATTATTATTATAATACAAGATTTATATAGCGCCAACAGTTTGCTCAGTGCTTTACAATATATAATGGGAGACAATACAGCAGCAGTACAGTTCAATACAAGAGGGTTAGGAGGGCCCTGCTCCTTGGAGCTTACAATCTAAGAGGGAACTTTTATTCTTTTGTTTTGTTTTTGTGTGAACTAATATTATTTATTATTTTCTTGTTATACATAGGATTAGTGCAGCACTTTTTGTTCTACAGAAAACACTTGCTGATCATGCCAGAAATACAGAGTCCTTGTCAGTTCCTGTGAATTCAGCTGAATTCACACAATGTTACCTTCCTTCCCAGCTACAGTATGTGCTGTGAACTACAAATTGCCCTCCTTGATTGTAATATAATGATGAAAGGAGGAAGATGTGTTTTGTAGTACAAATCAGGAGCACAGCCTAGTGTGAAAACCTTGGCTTCCTTTATAGATACAATGGAGTAAGTGAACATAGCTACCAGAGACAATAAATCTGTTATTTGCAGGATTTCCAGTTGAAAATAAATGAAAAGTAAATGCAGCCACATCATCAATGAACTGGTAAACCACATTACTTTTTTATTTTTGGGTTCAGATAGATTTCCCCTTATACTATGGTACAAGGTTTCAGTCCGCTAAGCTTGTCTGCATATTTTCAAGTGCTGCAATCATTTGTATCATCTATCAGGACTTGAGGAGGTAAGGTAGACCTATACTCCAGTGTTCAGATTGATTCATTCTTCTATTCAGCTGAGATTGTGAGAACTTTCAAGGTTTGCAATGGAGCCATCATTCTTATCAGACTGTATTGCTTTATGAGTTGCAGACCTCAAACAAACATACCGCCAGTGAAAGATCAGGAAATGGTCCCAATGCTATCCTCCTTCTAAAAATACAGGATGCTTGTCTGTTATGGATGTCCAATTAATTATTACTATTACAGTCAGGTCCATAAATATTGGGACATCGACACAATTCTAACATTTTTGGCTCTATACACTACCACAATGGATTTTAAATGAAACGAAAACAAGATGTGCTTTAACTGCAGACTGTCAGCTTTAATTTGAGGGTATTTACATCCAAATCAGGTGAACGGTGTAGGAATTACAACAGTTTGCATATGTGCCTCTCACTTGTTATGGGACCAAAAGTAATGGGACAGAATAATAATCATAAATCAAACTTTCACTTTTTAATACTTGTTTGCAAATCCTTTGCAATCAATTACAGCCTGAAGTCTGAAATGCATAGACATCACCAGACGCTGGGTTTCATCTTTGGTGATGCTTTGCCAGGCCTCTACTGCAACTGTCTTCAGTTCCTGCTTGTTCTTGGGGCATTTTCCCTTCAGTTTTGTCTTCAGCAAGTGAAATGAATGCTCAATCGGATTCAGGTCAGGTGATTGACTTGGCCATTGCATAACATTCCACTTCTTTCCCTTAAAAAACTCTTTGGTTGCTTTTGCAGTATGCTTTGGGTCATTGTCCATCTGCACTGTGAAGTGGCGTCCAATGAGTTCTGAAGCATTTGGCTGAATATGAGCAGATAATATTGCCCGAAACACTTCAGAATTCATCCTGCGGCTTTTGTCAGCAGTCACATCATCAATAAATACAAGAGAACCAGTTCCATTGGCAGCCATACATGCCCACGCCATGACACTACCACCACCATGCTTCACTGATGAGGTGGTATGCTTAGGATCAGGAGCAGTTCCTTTCCTTCTCCATACTCTTCTCTTCCCATCACTCTGGTACAAGTTGATCTTGGTCTCATCTGTCCAAAGGATGTTGTTCCAGAACTGTGAAGGCTTTTTTAGATGTCGTTTGGCAAACTCTAATCTGGCCTTCCTGTTTTTGAGGCTCACCAATGGTTTACATCTTGTGGTGAACCCTCTGTATTCACTCTGGTGAAGTCTTCTCCTGATTGTGGACTTTGACACACCTACCTCCTGGAGAGTGTTCTTGATATGGCCAACTGTTGTGAAGGGTGTTTTCTTCACCAGGGAAATAATTCTTTGGTCATCCACCACAGTTGTTTTCCGTGGTCTTCTGGGTCTTTTGGTGTTGCTGAGCTCACCGGTGCATTCCTTCTTTTTAAGAATATTCCAAACAGTTGTTTTTGCCACACCTAATGTTTTTGCTATCTCTCTGATGGGTTTGTTTTGTTATATTCAGCCTAATGATGGCTTGCTTCACTGATAGTGACAGCTCTTTGGATCTCATCTTGAGAGTTGACAGCAACAGATTCCACATGCAAATAGCACACTTGAAATGAACTCTGGACCTTTTATCTGCTCATTGTAATTGGGATAATGAGGGAATAACACACACCTGGCCATGGAACAGCTGAGAAGCCAATTGTCCCTTTACTTTTGGTCCCTTAACAAGTGGGAGGCACATATGCAAACTGCTGTAATTCCTACACCGTTCACCTGATTTGGATGCAAATACCCTCAAATTAAAGCTGACAGTCTGCAGTTAAAGCACATCTTGTTTCATTTAAAATCCATTGTGGTGGTGTATAGAGCCAAAAATGTTAGAATTGTGTTAATGTCCCAATATTTATGGACCTGACTGTATATGGTATTTATATGATGCCTACAGTTTTTGCTGTGCTTTACAAAATAAAGGTAGTCAATGCAGTTACAGTCCAGTCCAGTACAAGACGATTAGGTAGGCCCTGCTCTTGGGAGCTTACAATCTAAAAGGAGGGAAAATTATTTAAAAAAAAATAACTTTTAGGGATGAGGTCATGAAGGAAATGGAAGCTCCGTTTTCAGGTCAAAGCAGGATAGTC